TTGCTGTGTTAAGAAATTTTCACCATGACCAACTTCATTGCAGGTGGGCCCTGCTGCACTGGAGAAAATTCCGGTATTGCCTCTGTGTTTTCTGTGGAGCCATGCAATTTTTTTTGGCAATATCAGTATTTTTCCCCCCAGTGTCAGCAGGCTGTTAATCACAGCCTGAAAACAGCTTGAATACATTTCCTTATGTTAACTTACTGGCAGTACCTTATCATCCAGGCCTGCAGTAGCAGCACAAAGGTCCACCAGGTTAGGCTGCAGATGTCCATTCACTATCTTCTCATTATAAATATAAATCTAAAACAAAATTAAAGTAAGCATGTTTAACAATACATGTTATGCTCCGTTCCATCCCCAGCCACAGCAGCAAAATATAAGTCAAGCTTCAAAAATAGTGTTTTCCAGCAAGTCCCTCTGCTTCTCTCCCACATCAGCCACTTCCAACCCAACGACAGAGGAATGGGCATTAGCATCACCCAAGCTTGCACACCATTTCAAAGACCCAGGCCTGCCCTAGCTGGCAGCAGCCCAGCTGTTCTGAGGTTCTGCATGGCAGAGCACTGGGCTGAATGCCCCATTAGACTAATTGCAGCTAATTGTTGGAGGATAAAGAATCAGAAGTGACCTGACAAGTGGATGGCTTCGATGTTCCCCTGCATGGCAGCCTCCTACCTGCTGATGTGAAAGAAACAGGATTTTGCTGGTTTGTGCCAGTATTCAGGGAAATCTGAGACAGGGAAATGAACAGAAATCTGACCCTTCAGAACCTGCCCTTAAAGGTATACACATACCTCCTCGTTTTAACTCTTGATCTTAACTGAGCTTCATCTTCTATTGTTTATTCTATTCTCAGTCCAAAGACTGTGTCCAGAAATAGTAATTTTCAATACCAGAAAGGCAATACCATTGTACTTGAATTCCATTTAGCATGCAGCACTATAACAACATGCCCAGGGTACAGACAAGATGTAGAGCTCAGGACTGCAAACAGAATGCAGCATCAGTGAAACTGTGTCCATGGATGTCACCATGTTCCTGTGAGGCAGTCTCAACTACCCACGAAGAACAATTAATCACTTCAGTGTAATTAAAACACATTTCACGACTGCTGATAAATGGATCTCCAGCTCTCCTGCTTGACCTCCAGGTCTCCCAACTCCCCTCTGAAGCCACAGGAGCCCCACACAGACTGCTGACACTGGGTTATTCCTGAACTGCGGCAGGCTGACACAAGCACAGCTCAGCCACGCCAGCTTGGGAGCACGCAGTGACTGCACCAAGTGTTTTGGTAGCAGAAGCCTGGCCACAAACACCACATTTCCAGGGCACACTGCAGCAGTCTGTGCACAGCCCATGACCCTGACAAGGGCCCACCAGCCATGCTGACTCCACAGCTACCCCAGAGCCAGGATTGCTAGAGAGACTGGGCTTCCCATACACAAAACCCAGCATGTAATAACACCGATGGCTTCAAAGCACAGATAATTATGCTTTAAAGAAGACCTTTGGTGTGGGTATATTAGAGTAGATATGAACTAAATTAACAAACTATTAACAGCCACGAAGTCAAATGTACACTTCAACAGCGCAACCATGAACCTTTTGCTATTAGTTTCTTCCCAGTTACCATAACTGAATGCAGATGTAGGAAAACAGATGCACAAGCTGCTCTGCCTCAGCACAGACTGAGCCAAAGCACACAATAACAGTAATTGTGTGCAAATTAGGCAACACTTCGTCTATGTCGTTCCACATATTCCATTTTGAAAAATCAAGTCCTTTTCTTTCATTTTGTTCTCAACACTGCTGGTAAACAGATAATCTCAAATAACAACAGTGACAAATTGGTTATGTAAAGGTTTATCAGTTTTCCCAGAAAATTTTCAGAGGGAGTCTAATGCTACCAGGCATATTAATTCACAGCGGATGCACTAAAGCTTCTCAAAAGCAATGTCATTAAAATAGGATACAATTCAACAAACATCAGGATTAACACTTCAGTGTATTTTTTCCTACACACATACACGAGAAAAATGATCTTCCATATATGAAAAAAAAGGGAATATAAAGCTTTCATTTGCAAACAATTATGCATTGACACAAATCCTAAAAAAACTGCTTTTGAAAACTTAAAAAGAATTTCAGTTTACTTTACAAGCATAAATGCTTTCTCTACAGTCATATATGGTGCTCAGGTTCTCTTTTTGACAAAAAATATCCTATAGCTAACAGGTTCTAAAAACACCAAGATTCACGTGTTTGTCAATAGTGTTTCATCTCCAGGCAGACATTTTCATGTTTTACTTACCATATCTTTTATACTAATCTCCAATCTTTATTTTCCCCATCTCTCTCCATGGAGAACACAGTGTTCAATGAAGTTTTTTCACCTCCACTCACCTGACGAGCATATGCCATCTCCACACTGTCCAAAGAGCTGCGACCTGGAGGACCCATCTCACCAACATAGCTGGGCTGTGGAAGGAGAAGCATACAGGAAGGTATGAAAGTACAGAATTACCACAGCACATTTTACCACTACATCTGCTCCTAAAGAGCAACAGCAAAACACTGTTCTTGACAGAACTAAGAACAGGGTTTTGAACCATTTACAGAGAAAAATGCAGTCTCACTGCAATATCCCATTATCTTCCCAATATAGCTTAAACATTCTAAAGTGACAGAAATCCTCCTTATTCAGTGCACAAACCAACCATTAACTCTCTAGAATTAGGACATCAGTGTCTCTTGGTAGCACCTTATAATTTTAATTCTTTGCTTTTCTTGTCAGTGTCTTGCTGTGAGGCATCTACTCTGAACCTCCATCACAGCAAGGACAGAGAATTCAATGGACGAGCTCAAACAAATCCAGTCTGGCAGATCTGATACTCCAGTTTTGTCCCAGTCCCATGATATAGACATAAAATAGGACTGCAGCATTCAATTGTGTGCTGCAAAGTGCCCCACTGCTGGTCTGCTGCAAGAGGAAGTATGCTGGCAATATCCTGACCTGAAAAAAATAGTCTTTTTACCCACAGAGACTATGCCAAGATTGAGATATTTTGGGTGTAGAGCAGGGAGAGACAGCCAATGGAATCATGGCATACAAAATTCATACTCTTATAAAACTTGTAATACAACATGCCAAAATAGTATAATACTGCATAAAGCGATTTTAGGTATTCACTACAAGGCACAGGTATGTTCTCAGTACAGCCACCACTGAACATAGATGTTCAATACTCTGGAGGAAAGAATACTCCCAACAATACTCTCTGCTATTTCCTGTTTTCTCAAAGAATGTAATTCTTCATTTCAGCGTCCACATTGCAAGTCTTGAGTTTGAAAAATAAAGTACAATCATTTTAAAGACAGATCCCTTTGAGGTAAACAGTCCTTTAATATCAGCTGCTTCAGAAGCCATGCTGGTCTGAAGATCAAAGCCAAGACAACCTCACTACAGAAGCATAATATTTATTATGAAGACAACTGACATAGTTGGGGCAAGCAAAAAGGAACAGACACACTTTCAACAAAGCAAGATTTTCAGGCTTGTTACCATATAACTCAAGGCCATGGATAATCATCTAAACTGGAATCAGTAATTTTTTCCGAGAAAGGGCAGGTACATCTGCACAGTTTAAAAATTAAGCTTTTTACCATCAAAGTCAGTTACAACTGGCTGCACATCCTCATTAGCTGTTACAGTGCACCTAAGCAATACTGTCAAACAGCTTTACTGCTCCTTACACTTGTTACCCAGAATGCCAGTACTTTACAGTGCAGACAGGATCACCTCCAAGGATTCCTTAAAGACGTGCTCTAGTCTTGCCTGGAAGAGTTCACTTAAATGTGACCAATTTGCTGCCTGTACAAACAACATGAAGCCCAAATGCAATAGGAAAATCACTGTTTTCACTTCCAGTTTAATCAGCTTTAGAGTTCAGCTTTGCTGACACCTGTCAGACTGCAGCATGGCAGGAGCAATGTTCCTGCCATGACCTGGCTTGTGCAGATTTCAGGAAGAGATCCAGAAAGGGATAGCTTTTCTCCAGATGGTGCCATCATTCAGTTTCTTGTTTCAAATGAGGATGAAATGCTGGCAGAGTCTTCAAAAGAATCTCACTTTTTCTGGGAACTGTATCCCAACTTCAAAATGAAATAATACAAACATATGAACTTCCAGATATGTTACTGATCAGTTTTGCACTGAACATTCTCTCAGTAATTCCAAAATTATTTTTTTTTTTTTTTTGTATTAGCTTAACCTGGAATATCTTTTACTGTGTCAGACCTCTCTTACACTCAGGAGCATGTGTCGTTACAAAGACAACTACTATTCACTGTCCCAGTCCAGGAGTTCTCATGAGTAAAGTGTTCACAAGTTAAAATTTAAAAACAAAAAAAAGTTACACAGTTGCAATGGCCAAGAAACTGTTCTGCATTGGCTAGGAATTTATACATAAAGATAAGGGCACTGACCTCTATCAAGAAATTCTAAGAGCTTTGTGTATGCACAGCATACAACAGCTGATTACAGAATAAAAAATACTCAGTGGTGTTTGCCCCTAATATAATGAAATATAAATGAATGAAGGTACCAAGGATGAACCTGGACAATCCTTTAAAATGGCTGAAATTAGTTTATTACTGCATTAATTTCTCACTAATAATGGAATTTAAATAATGCTTAACCTGATTACAAAATCAGGCAGGTGCATTTAGACCTTAGGCTCTATAAAAACGCCTTACAAAAACCCACCTAAAACCCGACAAATTCTTTGTTCTAAAGAACAAAGAAGCTGTTAAAGCAGGTTTCCTGGGAAACAGACATGATGGCAGAAATAGCGCTTTGCAGCCTTTCCCTGTGCTGAGCCAGATAAAATGCAGAGTTATTTAAAGTAATGCTAAATTATGGACGTTGTCATTAATTACCGATGAGGTTTCATCTCCTAAAGCAACTGAAGACTAGTACATAGTGACTCAGTGTCACTTTTCAGCCAGTGCCCAAGCACCAGAAACACAGGGACTGGAGCTTTGTTTTGTGAATCTGTTCCATTTTCTGCTTTGCGGCACCAAAGAGCACCCACGTGGCTGCCGCTCCAGAGAGTGGTGTGTGACTGCCGGGTTCAAACCAATTCAGGTAAGAACCTGAATTTAAAAGGGCATGCCTGCAAGAAGTAACTGCTCTGGGGTTGGGTTTTCCCTTCCATTCTCCAATTTTAGTTTCACTCTAACCATTATGCTTTAAGAAACACTTCTTAACTATCTGCCACAGCTGAGAACTGCCACACTGAAATTCTTTAAATTCTACTGACTTGGTACTTCAGGGAAAAAAAAATTAGGAAGTCTAGAATTTGTCCTAGTTTTCTTATACTTTTCTTTCCTATGGAAAAAGAGCCATGGAAGCAAGCTTATTTCCTATTTTCTTCCCACCTCATGCATGCATTCTGGCTTCACCTTTGAATTATTAAACTACAAAAAAGCACTAGCTCACTGAACTATCTCATGGCTGTGCTAAAAGGAAAGTTCAAAAGGAAAACTAAACCAGTGAGTCAGCATGGGGAAGGCCACTTCCACTGTTCCCCCTGAATCACAGAAATGGATTGCGCAGGCAATCCTTCCCAAGAGGAGACATCCCCTACAAACTAACGGGGGGAAAGTGGGGAGGAGGGAGGATATCCTTTGCTAGCAAGTAAGAACTTACCATGTTTCAAGCAAGAAAAGGTAATGAAAGTTGTGCTCAAAACAGCAGTTAGGAGCATATGATAAGAATTGTGTTTCAGGTCAGGTTCTGAAGTTGAACTGGAGCAGCAAAAGGAAAAGCAGAAAAGTGGGGGAATGCACAAAGGACTGCAGAAGTGTAAGTGCACATACACAAATCTTGCTGTATCTCTAGTCCGATACTGCTTAAATGGCTTGTGCTGTTTTTCTCAACCACCTTTGAGTGGTTTTGCTTTTCCCTGCCCTGAATTTTGGTCTTTCCAAAATATGATTCAGAACTATAATATTTATTCAGAATACTACCCATTTCTCAAAGCTGCAGCTTAGCTGCACTGCCATCACATTTTTATCTTTTAAATTCACTTAGCCAAATGATGCTGCTTTTCAAAGGAGTCCTCCTTCATTTGCACTCAACCAAGCATTCAGCCTCACTTGCACACCAAACCCTGTGCATGTAAAGATGCATTATTCATCACCCTCATATGCATATGCACATTCCTCAGCAGAAGTCTGGGCAGACATTTTGTCAGCACTCCAAATGGCTTGGCCAGTAGACGCAGTGAATATCTAGGCAGGAGACCAAGCTGGAAAAATCCCATCAAAATACACTGTGGTGGAGTGGAAAGCATCTTGCAGAGCTTGGGATTTAAGGGGTATGAAGACGTGGTACAGAGAGGCAGAACAGAAACCAAGAGGTGCCAGTGTCTCTGTATCACTGCAGGAGCGTGCTGCTTGACAGCAGGAGTGGAAGAGCTTACGGCAAGGGTGGAAGAAAGAAAAACCTGGAATAAGGAAAAACTTGGAAAAGGACAAAAGAAATGCCTCATGGCACAACAGTCATAACAAACACCTTCAGACCTTAGGTGTTTGATATCTTGAAGACAAAATTCAGGCTTTTAATCCCTTTCCAGCCCCACAAGAAGCACCTTTTTATCAGCTCTGGTTTTCCCTGACAAGAAGATGGCCAGGCTGGAGGACAAGGGGGAACAGAAAACCTTAACAGCAAGTCCTGCACTAGGTTCTTTGAATCATGAGCTTTGCCTGTTAATTGGTCTTACTTCCATGAATAATGTGTTGGTATTTCACTCTGCCCAAATTAGCTTGCCCAAAGCTTGAGAATTGGCTTGCAGGCAGACCGGCCCCCTGCTGCGTTTGGATCTGTGCCTTTTCAGCTGATTCTCCATCTCCAGAGGATATCAATTAAACCTCTACTATATTCTACAGGCTGTGTCTGTTTGTGTCACATACACACAAAAAACTTATTTGACTGGAACAAGGCTTTAGAAGAACAACCTGCTGTGGGGAGGTTAGATAACAGGCTTTTAACACAGTAGATGCACTTCAAACCTCTCAGACCTTTGACTTCTTGAGGCTAAGACTAGAATATATCAAGGATTTTAAATGCTCTTGAAATGACATACTGCTACTATGAAAGCTTTGAAACAGAGTGGAGTATTACTGACTGATAGTGTACATTGAGTCTTTAAACCCATTCACGAAAAACATTAGGAGCTGAGTTTCCTCCCCTCCTCCCTCACGCCAATTTGATGCTTGTCCATGGACTGAAAGTAGCATCCATTTGACAATCAAACACCAGAATAGGCGTTTTACCTGCTCAGAGTGGGTTATTAAATTACTTCTGCTAGCAGTTAACATCCACACTCTGAAAGGAAAACCCCATACCAGTAACTAGCACACAAATCAAAGATGTTAGAAGTTATCAGTATAACTGCCAAGTATTCAGATCCACATCCCAAAATAACGGGATAGCTGTTCCTAGTTTTAAATTAATTCAGTCTGCATTATTTAGCATTTCTAATATTGGACAACCTTTGAGAAGTCCCAGTAAAAATGAGTAAAATATTTTCTGGGGAAGAGAGTCTCTATAAAAAGAGGTATGCTAACTGGGATTAACCTATATTTAAAAGAACAGTAATCAGAAAGGGACATTTCATTAACAATTTTAATTATTTCCAAATCCCTATACAGGTCATACCCCATTAGCACCAAGGGCTTTTTTTATTTTTGTATAAATTGCAGGTCATCCCAATGAACAAGAATTCATTTTAATGGGTGAAGAACATGGCTATAAAAAATGTGTCTCTTTTTCAGCCTGGAAGCACGGCAGCTTGCATCCGCTCCACTTCCTATCCCCTCTCCTCTCAAGGTGAGCATTTTCATGGAGTACAGAGCAGCAGCTGTGATGTAACTTTGTGCTCCAGGGACCACAGCTGCTGTCTGAACCTTTCAGCGCAGAGGAGCTGAGCTCCCAACACTCTGCACGTAACTCTGCTTTGTTCTATTCATTTAACTCAAACGTTTTCTTTAAGAGAATAAACTGTACAGGTTTAAATTGTAACAGAAGATAAGAAATGTTTTAAGATGATAGTCAGTATCTTTTGTTAAACATGGGGTAAGTCTTGCCCAAAGGATTTGGTCATTGCTGGATTAACCTGAACACTAGAGGTCTGAGCAGCACAAAATTCTAATCTGCTCTGCATGAGACAGCAAGATAAAAAGGAAAGTGGGTTTTTTTGGGGTGTTTATTCATTTGGCTTTGCCAAGAAACCTCAGAGACTTAATCAGCCTCCTAAGAAAAGCCATAAATCCAGCTAGCACACAGTGGTAAGGGGAAGAGATGCTCTAAGACCTATGTGTAAGCACAATTGCACCTGAGAAACTCCCTGGTGTCACACTGCAAAGGTTTCCTGAAGTCCCCAGTGTGTTTTCTGTCCCCTGGGTATATTGACCTAGTATGTGTTTGTGACTAAGTTTCCAGCCAGCACATATGCTCAAAACACAGCTTCAGCAACAGCAGCTCCATTGCCTGTACCCATCAGTCAATAAACAGAAATAATCACAAAGGTTTGATATTTTGCTAGACAATGCATTCTGCTAGCCAGAGCCATTCTAGAATTAAATAGGGATTTTATATTTTTAATTTTCACACAGTTGTAGTTCCAGAATATTTCAGAAGTGGTTTCAGCATGCTGTAATGCCAGCAGCGTACAGTGCTGTGTGTGACTGTGCACAGCATTTAGAAAGACAGTTACCTCGTTTTCCTGGGTGAAATCAAGAGCATCTTCCCCTGATGCAAGCAGAGAATGAAGAATCCTTTGTTTCACCTGTTCCCATTCAACCAGCATTGATTCTCGGTGATACTCCTCAGCCATGGCAAAAGTCTGTTGGTGAAGAAGAACAAGAGTTAAAAAACATATCAAAACACACCAGCCTAACTCTGCTATTAACAGACAAGCCCAAAAATGAAACACAAAATAGCAACTACACAAATTAACCAGGTCAGCCCTCAAGAGGCTAATGGCGTGCTGCATATTATTTTAACAGGCTCCCTGTTCAGGTACAAGGGGATTCAGAAAGTAGGTGTATGCGGAATGAAGACAACTCTCACATACCCCCAGCTGGTAAAAGAGGGAAACTGTGTCTCTTCCAGGGCAGGGCAGCACAGGAATCTGAGCAGGCTGAAAACCGGCAGGCTTCCTTCTTTAACTTAGCAGCGCACACACAGTATCCAGGTTCATCACTAATCTGTGTGGTTTGCTGGGACTTAACTTCTCTGAAGGTCTGACTCACTGCATTTTTAACAAAGGTGGGTATTTATTGCCCATGATCATTTTCAGGTCTTTACCAGTGTGTTTTAGTTTTAAACAGGAAATAGGATAAAATAAACCAGTGTCAAAGAATCAGGAAGTCTCTTCCATCAGGAACATAACTTGGGAAAGCACACAGGAAAATCATATCCCAAGAAAAAACAACCTTTACCTTTAAAATGGCTGATGTGGTACATTGTCTTCAGATCCAATTGGGGAACACAGGGCAGGAAACAGCTTTTCCCTCAGCAGGGGAAATATTCCCATATTTTGGCAGTAGCATTGGGATAGAGAAGATGCTTCACTACCTTTTCTGTTACTGTTGGGGTGAGACTAGCAGCCTCAGGTATACCAACACAGGAAATAAGAGAATCTCCACTAATTCTAAATAGAGAATAAGCTGTATTGTGTCTTCTACTTCTTTCCTGTTCACACAGCTCTGTCCTGCACTGTACTTAACTAAATGTCTTGGTTGGCTAAGTTTTTCATTTCCTTGCAGTTCACTGTTAGGATATTGTCAATTAATGAGCAAAACATTCCTCGAAGAAATGAATTTGTAAGAGACAGTGACATTTGGTAAACATTTAATTACAGTGCATGCATGCAACTAGAGCTTAAGATCTGTGTTTCTTTGTTGCATTATAAAATTCACTTTATATTTTCATGGCAGGATATAGGTCTTACCCACTTATCTTCACTATTATAATTTCAAAAGTATTTTAAATATGCTTCAATAGTTACAACATAATTTTATGTAATTGAAATAATTTATTAATGCTTATGTACTCTTTCTTATCACTTGAAAGAAACACAGGGTCAGTTCTAAACCTGATGCCCCTAGTATACATTGAGGGAAACAATCCTAACATGAGCACTAGGAAGTATGGAATGACATTTCCAAGAAGGAGTTTCAAGACAAACAACAGGAAGCATTTTTTCATGCTGCATAATTCAATTGCGAAAATCACTGTCCCAGAACATGACAGATACCAAAGGAACAAATCGATTCAGAAACAGGATTAGATGAATTTCTTATCAGAAGACAAGTTGCTGCTCAGATGATCTTCAAAACAACTATTTGTTCAGCGGTGAAGATACAAGAGATGAAGAGGGGAAGGCTAATTCATTTTCTTACAGACTAAGTACTGATCCCTTTCAAGGGAAGAAAACTGCAAATCTCTCCTGTTTTTGTTTTTAGACAAAAATGATGTTGCTTTCTTCCAACTTACCCTCCTCCTAGACTCTTCAATGGCAGACAGCAATGCATTATCTTTTTCATTCTTCAGGAATCCCTGAAGAAAAGGAGAAACAGAGCTTCAGCCAAAAAAAAATCAGCCTTGCACTAACATCAGATACATATTATAGTACTCAGCTCTTTCAGCTCTGAGAAGTGCTCAGAGCTCTCTCTGCAGTCCAGTCCCAGGAAGTTTAAAGGTCACTTTACTTCACCAAAGGTACAGTAAGATGCCCATCCAGAGCAACATGAAAATGAAAATGCATTAATCCCCTCTTTTAATATGCATTAAATCCTAGTGAAATGTCCTGCCTCTATTCTCTTTTATCTCTGTGTCCCAGCATCTGCTTCCTCTTGCTCTCCATTTGAGGGAACTAGGATGAAAGCTGGTAGGAGCGATAAGCCAAGATAAGATTGTTGGACTTGAGTATGCTGAAAAAAATAAAACAGGCTTTGACTTGGCAGCTTCAGGCAGAAGTGGAGCTCTTGGAGGACTGATACAACTGTGAAAAAGAGTCTTAAAAATAGTCAGTTGAGGAAGGATGGAAATAACTAAACAGTTGGAAAGCATACAGAAAGTTTACCACACAGCTTCTCTCCATGAATACAGCTGGAGTGGGTAAAAAGGAAGATTTGTGTTTTTAATTTTCAGTATATGAGTAAATCTCAAAGAGGTCAGGTGTGTGTGAACAAATTGATTTAGATGAGCTGTTAGGTCCTTATCCCAAAGGATTACTTTTATGACCTATACTAAGAAATATAAAATAAAGTTTTAACTTTAAACAAATAGCTGTGGGGTAAACTGCAGTAAAGCACACAGACAACAATCAGGATATGTTTATCACATTTTAACATGAATATCTTTATTTTGAATTTTCACTGTTACATCACCAATTAAATAAACCAAGTTAATTTGTATGCCCAGACTTCAATGTAATCATTATTCAGGTCATAAAAAAGAAAAAGCTTTTTTATCCTTCTGAAGTAATCAGCTATAAATTATCAACTCCATTAATCGCTAATATCTTAAAAGTCTGTACACCCACTCCACAGCTCTAAAACCAAAAGCTGCTAACAAACCTGGAGAAAGGGAACTCAGTGGACCATGCTTTATGCTTTTATAAAGAGAAAATATGACTGCAGCAGTGTCCAACTGAATTTATCAGGAATTTTGTGCCTTCTAGTCTCCCCATCTTCCTGCTAAGAATTCCTGTGGTGACACACAGAGATTTGGGCTTTTGGAAAAATATACTTATGGTAGGTCTTAGAAACGGTGCTGCAGCAGTAATAAATACAATCACAAGTATCACAGAGTAATACTTAGCTCTGGGAGTTGAGGAGCAATAGAAATCTCCCCAGTCTGAAGCAATCTGGCAGGACACTGTCACATAGGAGTGCTGCCGGCTTCCTGCTCCCCAGCACCAGCATATGAAATAACGGGCATTGCACCCTCTCCTTCTAAATATGTAGAACAAGCATTTGAGGTACATGGGACAGGCTGTGACCCCCTTTAGCTGGAAATAAGAAGGTGACCCCTTTCTGTACACCAGAGAGAGAACAGGCCGCCATCCTCAAAGAGACGTGCGGTGCAGCTCCCCAGAAAGAGCCCTTGAATTACACACGGAAGAGAGCGGTCACTGCTACCCAGCCTATTCTTCATTTTACCAGCCGACAGGTCCTGCTTTATTTTTAGACAATGCCCACAGAGAAATCACAGCTACAACCTGAAAAAAAGGAAGCTAAATCCAGATCCTTGCACACGTCTGGGGACCAACTATTACAGCAGCTGTCACTGAGACAAGGGCTGCCGCAGTCACCTAACTGGGCCAAGACAGCCTCGGCTCTGTGCAGGAGAGGGATGGAGATGTGCCTGTAAAGCTTGTCCCTACTCTGGGAGGGCAATGAGTTTTCTGGCTGTTTTTTTTTTTTTTTTCCACTTCCCCCCCCTCCAACCTAAAATGGAGGAAAATTATCTGGAATTAAAACAAGCAATGCTTCTGGACCTTCAAAGCACACACCAATACATGAGCAGAAGAGACAGACTTGCTTCCGATGGCAGAGATCTGATGCTGCAGAGAACAGTGTGTTAGCTCTATTCTAACAACACTGCTTATTTTACAGGCAAAACCAGCCCACTGTCTCCAAGATGCAGACCTAGAGCTATCTGCATGTGATGGAGGGTGTGAGCTTACAGAGGTCCTGGATGCCTGGCTCCCTGCTTGCTCTGTGAGCACTGGACTCCTGAAAACCCCAAGAATATAAGTCCTACCTTTCCTGCCCTTGGTCTTCCCGTCTTTCCTTTCAGGGATGTGTGCCCTAGCAGGTATCTGCCTAGAAATGTACACAGCAGCGATGGTAATCAACAGAGGAATTTAAGATGTGCTAAAACTTCACTTGATGTCAGTAAATCCAGGCTGAGTATCTTAATGAAACTGCCCAGCTCCCAGAGAGTTCTACTAGGTCCATTTAAGGAAACACATTACACTGAATGCAAATTAGAGGATGATAATTGTCTTTTTTAATCTCAAAAGCTACTTCTTTAGCAAAATAAAATCCTCACACATTCAAAATAACATCTGTAATGCCTCACTAAGGAGAAATAAATTTTAAAAAGTTTGCCCTATGTCTTGTGTTAAACATTATGACTCTAGCATGACAGTTTCAGCTTCAGTTAATTACAGACTAATTGTTAAACCTCAGAAGAGGGGGTTTCAGGAACTGATGCTGAAGTTCCTGTTACTGCTTGTGCGAGCTGCTTCTACTTAGGCCAAATAAGAGCTCCTGGGGGTGTCACTCCAGGCTTTGGTGGCCAGAATTTCACATTCTCGTTAAGAATGTGAGGTGTGTCCGGCTGATTGCTGGATCCCCTGGATTTATCACA